GAAGGAAGGAAGGAAGGAAGGAAGGAAGGAAGGAAGGAAGGAAGGAAGGAAGGAAGGAAGGAAAGAAAGAGATACAAGCGGGATTTTCAAAAGCCAGCCAAGAGGTTACCAAAGGCTTAAAGCGCAAATGTTGAAGGCGAAGGAAGGCAGTCACTGGAAGGGGTGAAGATTGTCTGGGGAGAGCAGGGAGCTGCTTTATTACGAGGGAAGCTGCTTGTCTGCTTGGACAACCTCTGGCCAACCAATCCTGTCCTGGAGGAGCCAGGAGTCCCGGCTGACATGCTGGAGAGAGGCGACGGACAGCCCTGATCCTCCGAAGGCAGCCAATGTTGCCGGATTCATTTGAAAACGCCTTCGCTGGGCTTTCCACAGCCACAAGGAGGAAGGGCTGACAATCCCTTGGAGCTCACAGAAACACCCTTCAGCCGGTCCCTCAACATGCAAAGATCCAACTATTTGGAAGGGGACATAGTGAGGGAGCAGAGCCTACAGGGCTCCACCCAATTTGACCCAGTCTTGCTTCCTGGAGGTTCCTGGGTGCCATAGCCCATGCAAGCTTCCGTGACGTCTCCTTCTGCTGTGAAGCCCAGGAGAATAAGGAAGCCCTTAGGGTAGGTGCCAACCCTGAAGCTGACCTGGCCGAAGCCATTTTGACTGCTTCAGTGTTGCCACACTGCAGCTGAGGGATGGGGGAGGGTAGTGAGATGGGGGGAACCTATAGCCAAAACAACGAATTTTCTCTTGGGAACCAAGGTCCAAGTTCTCACACCTGGTCGGAAGAAGGTGGAGTGATGTCCCCCGGATGCCAGCCCATTCTGTGATTGGACCATGGGACTGATTGTTTAAGAAAGTGGGAAAACTTTTTACTTTTAATTAGGTGAAAACTGTGGGAGACTTTAGAGTCGGTTTTCACCAGGTATGTCCCAACATGATGATTCCAAAGAAAAGTATTCTTTGAGGAATCTACCTGCCTCAGAGTCTTGCTTGCTATGGATACATTACTGACAATAGGAGCCCCCTCCCACACACCCTGAAGTCCTGCTTTCTGCCTGATCTGGGGGGGGAGGGGGAAGCTGAGTGGTTCAAGTGGACACATTTGAGAGAGAGAGCAGGCGGGGATCTCCGTCGATTCTAGAACCCAGTTGATCCTGGTTGAGGGAAGAAGCACAGGTTTATAGGTTTATAGGTTTTATTAGCATTTGTAGGCCGCCCTTTTCCCTGAGGGGACTCAGGGC